TGGAAAACCGACTTGTTGTTTTATTGTTCGTGTAATTGTCTTATTTTGACACCTTGCCCAGGTGGGTGCACTTCTTTTGTCTGATTCCCCTTTGTGTAGAGCTTGGGCAATTTCATTAGACAACTAAGCTTCCAAACTCGCCAAGTTTTGTGACGCCAATATATGCACTTTAAGTGTATGTTTCAGATTCCTCAGTTTAAGAGAACCAGGGCAAGGAAGAACAGTGCGATGTGGCACCAGTCTGCAACCACCTTGTATTTTACTCTAACACTCATCTCCGCGATACCTGCATTCACATATGGTTTGTAGTCCGATTTTTCTAACTTAATCAATGTTAACCTCTGTAACACATTCACGATATTTTGCTTTGTTTTCTATGTGTTTCAATAATTTAGACATCCCATTTGATAAGCTGGGTTATCTACATATGCAAATGCCGGTAGCAGTAGTTTGTGAAGAGATTACCATTATCAAGAACAGTTTATTGCCATAACGAAAACCGCAAGATCAAACTCTTACTCTTTCGGGTCTGTCGGAGTGTAACGTTAAAATGAGTGTGCATGTTTCGATTCTGCGCGAGTGCGTCGTTCAGTAAATGTCTTTTTTTCATCTTCTCTTCAGCGAGTCACTTCCGAGGTGCTACAATCAGCTGGAGATGCCACAAAAACGACCACCTGAAGGTACTGTATGGGATGAAAAAGTTAATGCAATTTATTCGAGGATTTTCCCGCCAAATCAAAATTTCCCTCGAAAGAATTCTTTTGCTCTCGAATCATTGCTCATATCCCCACTGCGCTTGCATTTGATGATTTTTTAACCAATTTTTATTAAATAATCTAGTTTTACTAGCACGACCCCCGTAACGCTTAGATCGCAATGACGCCCTGAACATTAAATTTTTAGAAGGAAATATCGACCTTATTTTTAAAGGGGGTAATCGTTTTTTGGAAGTCGACTTATTACAGCGACCAGTCCAAAAGTGCCACCTTTCTACCGACATCGTAGTTATTGCTGTTAAGAAATACTAAACAGGCAGATGATTAAGGTGCTTCTCTTCGAACTCGTTTCATTAGCCAACTCTGACAGATCCTCACTAAAGCAGGTTTTGCTCCTTTCACATGCACGATCTCTGCTGGTTAGTTAAACTGACCGTGTCCATCGCGGACGCTTCGATTACCGGGACTTGACTCTCTTACATAATATGCAGGCTATCAAGTTGTCGATCTGTCCAAGTGGAACGGCCTAGTTCAAATCTCTGTTGTTATTATTGATGTTAGTATTATTGTTATTATGATAAATTGATAGACAAGTGATGAGCTATAATTATAATTATTATTATCATTATCTGTACAAATTAGGTTGAGTTTTACTACCGGTCAGCGTGGAGACTGGGAACTGGGCCCTGTGGTCCACGGTGCAGTGTCAGACACGTTGGTCAAGAGGGAACATTTATTATGGGATCCTGGAAGTGTTACTCCGGTATGACTAGCTCTGCGCATGCGACACTCCTCTCTCTCTCTCTCTCTCTCTCTCTCTCTCAATATGACAATTTTTCACGAAAGATGATCTATTACTTCGTCCAATATGACACGATCTTCCGTGTTGAGAACATGCTCTTGCCCCGGTCAGTTTAAGGCTTCGTTCACATGCAATGTCTATTTTCTATTTTCTATTTTCTATTTTCGGTATGTCTTATGATCACGGTCTGTGCACTGAATATCCCGCGGCGTAATTACTGGCAGCGCGAGCCAGTTACTATAAGTTACTATAAGTAACTGGCTCGCGCTGCCAGTAATTACGCGGCGGGATATTCAGTGCACAGACCGTGATCATAAGACATACCGAAAATAGAAAATAGAAAATAGACATTGCATGTGAACGAAGCCTTAGTAAGCCGTTCATTCGAATACCACACCCACTTGCCTCAAACCCCTTTTACACTGGACGGCGTCTTTTCTGCGTCTATTGTGCGACCATGAAATTGGCATCGTTGTAGTTGTAGAAAAGAGGCACAGACATCTGGATGCTTATTGATCGGCCAGTTGGCGGCACGAAAAGTATTTATTTATTTTTTTTTACATTCAAACGGGACCGTACTACAGGTCGCAGAAAGGACGCCGTCGTGTAGAGGGGGCTTAAGCGCCTGCAGAAGCTGCGCCTCATTATCATCGTACATCGACAAGAAAAATTCAAATAATTTATTTGACATCGTTGTCATCTTTTTCTGTTCTCTTTTTTCCCCGCCGTCGCCAGGACCAGGTTGTCTGCGTTCCAGACACTTGTCAAACCACGTGTACACGGTGACAGCTGTCAGCACCACAGAATACTATGAGGAGGGCGAGAGAGCGTTTGATTACACCTTTCAAACCTTTGGACGCTATGTGCTCGGGTAAGTGGTGGAAAAAGGCTGGTTTCACTAATTTAGATCTTGGACAAATGATACGAATTATTTGTCCAAGTTTAGCGCGACAGCTGGCCATATATTTAGACTAATATTGATTATGACTCACGAGTTACTGTGCTGTTTGATAGTCATCCAGTCATGTTTTACATACATTATTTGATTAAAGCTGTCACTGGCCATAGAATTTATTATAGTTGACAAGGTTGCGTCTCTCTCGCTTAGATGTTAACTAGAATGAACCATCAGTCCACAGGGGCGGTTCCAGGGTTATTTGCAGGGGGGTCCGGAATGACAGGCCTCGGATGCAAAGCTGACCTTTTGGTGTAAGGTTTGGGGCCTAATCAAGGGCCCAGAATTTTTTTTTTGGTGTTTTGGAGAGCAAACAGTGCCCTTTGGTACGGTTTAAATCTATGATTTAGCTAGTCAAAATTCTTATTTAAGGAGGGAATATTGGTGTGATATATTTTTCAGAAACAGAAGGGGGGTCGGGGTCAGGACCCCCCTGACCCCCCTCCCCCTCAATCCGCCACTGCTCCAATTAAAGATTATAAACTTGACATAAATATGCCTGTGCGTTCCAGTTTTACGGGGTCGGCGTGGATCGGTCTAACAGAGCGTGGTGGAGAGGCGTTCAGTGTCCTCACACAGGTAAACCTAGGCTACCGCAGTGACGTCAACAAGCCCAACTCCAGTCCCCAGTCCTATGGATTGATGGCATACAGGTGTGTATGTGTGTGTGTGTGCATGCACGCGCTTACGTATGTGTGAATGTGTGTGAATGTGTAAGTGTGTGCTCGCTAGCGGGTGTATTTGTGTTTGCACTTGTACATGTTTATTTGCTTGTGTGTGTGTGTGCGTGCGTGTGTGTGTGTGTGTGTGTGTGTGTGTGTACGTTCATGTGTGTACGCATGCGCCAGCGTGTGCTTGTTTGTTTGTGTGTGTGTGTGTGTGTTCATCCTCTCATTCGTTGATGTATGCCTACATGTGTGTAAGTGCTTGTATGTGTTGATGTATGTTAAAGTGCGTGCATGTGCATGTGCATGTCTGTCTTAACTTTGTGTACGCGCTTGTACGTGTAAATGGCGTGCGTATTCATGGTGTATTAATGTCTTAGCCCTTTTTATGACTACGTGCCGAAGCTGTGATGCTATTTACCTTTCGGTTTCAGGATAAATGTCTGCCGTGGATGTGACGCCACCATAGAGTTCCCGGTGCTGGACCCAGAGGGTGATTTTGTCCGGTGCCGCTGGGGGCGCGGAGATACGGAGTGCGGCAGCGTGTGCGGCAGGCTGAAAGGGGCCATTTTGTACGACGTGAGTCTATTGGTGTATGTGGACATATGTCCAGGAACTTCTCTGTTGAGAGCCAAATTCGGCAAAGCCCGCTTATTTTGTTTGAGAATCGTTTCAAAATACATTGTTACATTGTTTAGACATAAGGAACAAAAGTATACTTTGGAAAGACAAATACACCCCGACCATTTTCTTTTCTCTCTCTCTCTCTCTCTCTCTCTCTCTCATTATCGTATTTTTACTTCAGAACTGCACGTTGTATATACCCAACACCGATGTTTTTAATCATGGCGATTTGTATGCCGTCGCGCTGATCATTGAAGATTTCCCGCGCAGACCTATCACGCTAGGTGCAGCCACGAAGAATGATGAGACTCCGCTGTCTGCTGTACCTTTACAGGTAAGCATAAAGGCCTATTGCCAGTTTTGTGAATTTATTATTGATTTGTGATAGTGACTTAAGCCAAATTTGTGTTAAACGTTGTCTTTACTGCTTGTTGTTATTTATTTGTTTAAAAAAATAAAAAAAATATGTCTCATGAAGGCTATCGGGTAATACAACTTCAGAATTACAATGGTTTTGCCTCATTAATTAAAGTACAAAAAATAAACACAACAGATCACCGTGGCATTTTTGACATCCTTTATCAGGGTTCTAACAGCGAGAATTTCTTTTTCGTGGCGACCATTCTGTGTTGCCAAGCTGTCTCAGTGAGCTCGTACTAAATAGTGTTGAGATTGATAAGGCCTATCATTTAATGTGTTACAGATCTTTAAAAATAATGAAATGGACAAGCTTGGCTGATAAACCAAGATCTGGGCATCCACTTAAGGCCGACATCTCGAGCGCACCTGTATATCTTATGCAAGTGCGCTTTCAATCCTTATTGCGAGTGAGATAATCCACTGTAAACCCACAGTCAAGCGGTATATGCTGGAACACCTCTAGGGGCACCGAAATATTTCATGTTTATATATGGCAAGAGGGTGGCAGTGTATTATTTGACATGCATACCGAGAGAAAATAAATGCATTTCACCGAAAAACACCCGAATTTAGCATATATTACTACGGTCTTACATGTCTAAGTTTGTAAGATGTGTTTATGACATTTACTGTCATGTCATTTGACTAGGTTTTGATCAAAGCATTGGAAATTGGCAGCTATGACGACATCCCTGTCTTGTTGAAGTCTGGACTGTCTTCCGGTCCAACAGCCATCGCGCCGGCTGCGAGCTTCCACAGGAGGGTCCGAATTCTTAGCCGGTTCCCGTATGTAGAGTATACTGATTTATTTGTGTAACGATGCAGTTGGATATCTATGCTCATGACTGTACCTTATTTGTGAAGGTGTATACCATGTAGCAATGAAGAAATCTGAAGCCTAATCTTGAAGGCCGAGGTCAAACTTCCCTTTGAAAGATTTGCAGTCTAAGGAAATTGTTTACTATATAATTTTGTCTTTGTATTAACTATCTTTACACATTTCTGTTCTGTGTTTTGAGAGGGATGTTGCACGTCATGCAACCGACTTCGGGTGCAGAGTGTCTTGAACGCCATGTTAAAAAAGGGAAAAGTAGATTTAAGAAAAAGAAATTCGATACGCTGCATTCGATCAAAATTGTTTGCTGATTCTTGTTTTAGGTCGAATTTCAATGGGATTCGTTTTCTGCTTCACATTTAAATTTTTTCAGCATAGATGAATTTATCCTGCTAGCGCCGTACGGTGTCACGAGAACTCCCGTGGAGCAGATGTCTGAGAATATGTATTTTGTTGATATTTCGTGGACGCCGATGGCAAACCAAACTGGCTATTTCACTATTGGCTGTCAGGCAGTGAATATAAGAGGGTGAGGCACTGACATTAGCGATATCCAAAAGTCCAAAGTTGTTATCATTTTATTTATTTATTTATTTATTAGATGCCTCATAGAGGTGAAAAATAAACGCAAAACTATGTAAAAATATACTATAAACTTAAGTGGATCTAACAAAGTAAAACTAAAGTAGCGTTCGATAATTCGTATAGATCTATAGACTATACTTGGTGACTGTTCATGCTTTTAATCGGTTTCAGCATTTCAAGCGATTTCCTTTACGAGACTGTTATGGCGAACGGTAAGTCGACTCCTTTTTCTTCTCAATCACATGAACTTTTTGTCGTTATTAATGATAGGCTCACTCGAATTAACCAATGTCGTGTTTACAAATACCATGGCAACATATGACAGTGCGACCAATCGTGGAGAGAGCTGCCTTGATAATGGGTCAGTTTGTTAATCCTGTTTTCCACAAGATAAATAAATAATAATGAATAACTAAAAGAAAGAAAACTTAATTCACAATTAAATCTTCGATTATTTTCAATTCCTCAAATGTTAAAACGGATACTTGGATACGCCATGAATACAAAATGGATACATATTACGCATGACGGCATCTCTCTTTCAGATCTTGACGAGTGTATAAACCGCCCATGCCTGAATGGGAGATGCGTGGATTTATATCGTATGTTCTACTGCGCCTGTTATGCCGGATGGACGGGAACACTTTGTGAAACGGGTATGGCATGGCCGTCAAAATTTCGTCAAAATATTTTTAGCAAGCCCACCTGCCATCTTCTCAGAGTGCTTGGCGTTTTGTTAGCCCTTCAATGACGTAACTGCACTAATAGCGCCTCTAGCGGGTTTTCTTTTAACTAAACAACGGAGATATAGCAATTTATCATGTGATTTACTAACACACTAATTTAATCGCTGCGTTTGTTTTACAAGAGAATAAGATACCTACAACAACAAAATAAATGGTCAATTCAGAGAAACCTAAATGAAATGTATTCTTTGGTTCTATTGTCATATTTGCGCGAAAAAAGATTTTGGCCAATGTAGGAGTAACGCTTGGCCCCCGACACGGGTCAGTGCGATTATTTATACTCTAATTTTTACTCAGAATTAGCCTCTGTCAGTATTTGAATTGTTTGAAACAAATAGTTTTCTGTCTTTATTTATTAACATTACACCGAATTTGAGAGAGTAAAACGAATCCAAACGCAGGCACGAGTTGTTTCATTGCTGTATATATTTAGTGTAAAATGCGAACGTTTATCATAGTTTTTCTTTTTCTTTCATAAGACATAAACGAGTGTGAAAGCGACCCTTGCCATAACGGAGCCACGTGCCACGACGAAGTCAATGGATTCTACTGCGCATGCGTAGCAGGCTTCACAGGAGTTTTCTGTCAGACGGGTATGTTATGTAAGATCATTTAAGTTGATGCTTTAGATATTTAAATTACAAGGTGTACAGATAAATATACTTTGAATGCATGACTGATTATGTCTCCTGAAATTACTTTCGTGTCCATATTGAAATGTTGACGTAGTTTTTTTAGCAGTTTATAAAATTAAAGTGTTATTACATATTTTGAAACACTTTTTTTTATCTTTGGAGCATTATATTTTGCAGAAATGAACGAATGTAGCAGCAACCCGTGTTTCAATGGCGGAACATGTAATGATATGGTGAATATGTTTAGCTGCGCATGCACAAATGAAACAACTGGTGTATTATGCCAAACACGGATTCCATGTATGTCCCTTCTTTATCTCTCTCCTTTTCTTCTTTCCCCCCTCTCCCCCCCCCCCAGCCTCTCTCTCTTTCTCCTTTCCTTGTCTCTCTTTCCATAAGGTAGATATAGTAAGGTGCCCCTAGACGTTATGAGAAATATATTTCCAGTAAGATTTATTCTTCAGTTTACAGTTTTATTTTTATTTTATAACTACCAATTGTTTTATTCTTATTTTCACTTAAGATATTCGTATTTATTTTACACTTTACGGTGTGTATTGATTGATTGATCATGCGTATTCTGTTGTTCCTTATAAGGTATTCATATTGTTATATTTGCAGCAATGCATAATGAGTGCTCCGTGTCTAGTGACTGTTTAAACGGTGGGACGTGCATGTATTCGGGGAATAATTATGTTTGCGCATGCGCGCCAGGCTTTACTGGGGAATTGTGTGAAACAGGTAAGAAATTACCAAAATACACCCGTGATATGACTGGCAGCTAGTACCTTGAGTTGCTTGTTGTTTTATTATCCTTTATACCCTATGTAGCAAATCAACATTTAGTTCTGAAAAAGGGTGCGAAATTGAAAGCACGCATTGGCTGTATTGCACCTCTTAATTTTGTTTAATTTATTTGCTGCGTTTGTTCTTACTCAAATTATGTCACTATGTATATTTGAGTAATTGAAAAAAATTGGTGTTTTTTAAAGCTACTCCAATGAAGCCAAATTCTTAGTTTTGTGTCATCTGGTTATTTTAAATTAAGACAAATGAGATAAACTTAGATTTAATTGCAATTCCACCTTAAAGTTATCCCATTTATCATGCCAGAGATTGACGAATGTTCCAGTCGGCCATGCTTGAATTGTGGGGTGTGTCAGGGCGGCATGGACACTTTCACGTGCGACTGTCCCCTTGGTTACACGGGAGAAGTGTGCGAGACTGGTAAGATATATGCAAGTTCGTAAACTTTTATATCGGGATATGACGAGTTAATTTAAAGTTTTAACACGTTTTGTGGAGCTGCCAAGCAGATTTACGGGGTGTAGAAATATGATTCAGCTAGTCAAAATTCTAATTTCAAGAGAGGAACATTGGTGTGATTTTATTTCAGAAATCGAAGGGGGGGGGGTCAGGTTCCCCCTGACACCCCCTAAATACGCCATTGTATTAATCTTCCTCTCTACAACTTCTTGTTCTAACATTTTGCAAATTGTGACCATTTTTGCGTGTTCTGTTGAATTCGGACCATAAGCTTGGTATGTAAGTGCAACCCAGGAGTGCGATTTTCTTAACCAATAATTCTTGATGTCGTTGATGTATCACTTTATCATAAGTGCAGAATCCCACTCAGCAAACGCGCTATTTAGGATACCGTGACTAACTGTTTGAAACTAAGTAGAATAGTTTAGCAAAGCGGTATTTTTGGCATGTTAATTGTTTTTAGATGCAATTAAAGAGTTGAATCGAACACTGAGGTTATTTGAACAAAGCCAACCCACTTTGTAATGCCCTCATACATTTCAATTGCAGACATAGATGAGTGTGCTATAAATCCATGTTTCAATGGAGGGACGTGTCAGGAGAATATCGGTGGTTTTACCTGTACGTGTGGCCAAGGTTGGGTAGGCAGCACCTGTCAAGGTAAGTCGGGGTATCTTAATGTGTTTTCTTGGCTATTATTTATTTATTTTAATTTAATTTGTATGTTTGTGTGCTGCTTGTTATTTGAGTTTTCATATATGTTAATATTTATAAGTGTTAACTTAGACGCCTTACAATAAATTTTAGACACAAGAGCACTATTAATCATGTATCAATCTCAATAAAAATATAGCCAACTTCACAATACATTTTACATATGTGAAATATCAATACTTCAGCTCCCGACCTGTGTGTGGACAATCCGTGTCAAAATGGCGGTACTTGCACAAATGTGGGCGGATCCTTCACCTGTAACTGTGAGCAACCTTGGGGAGGTACCTTATGTGATGGTGGGTGTATTTAAATTAATTTCAATCATTTAATTTTAATATTAAATTAATAATAAAGTAAGAGTTACGTCTTAGGGAATGTACGTCATGTCTTTTATTTTGTTTTGTTTTACGTCAACTGGTAAAAATAATAGTAACGCTATCTTAGAAGCATTCTGAAAAGATAGCACAGTATCAAATTAAGCACTGTCAACTTAACTGGAAGTACACACCCCTCGTATTCATTGGCGCCCTTACTAAAGAGTTGCAGGTTTACCCTTCATGTGATTATCAACAGTTTAACGACCACGTGGTGTTATCCTTGGAAGAAGATTTAGACGGGGTGGACCGATTCCTCTTCCCCGGCGGGAAATCTGAAGAGGAATGTGCGCTCGAATGCAGCAAGGTACGCGCAGATATACAATTAAGAACTTTTAGGAGATTTAGACAGTGTCTGTCTGTATGTAAAACTAGCATATTAGTAATGTAGGATGTATAAGATGTATTTCTTTAACATATAAGTAAGGATTTTATCTGATTTGTTTGTATATTGGCATTACTGTATTAACTTTAGTTTTACACGTCGAAATTTACAATGTTTTATCTACAGTGTATGTTCTGTTGGAAGTTTATTTTCAATGCTGTATTAAAACGATGACTATTTATATTATATGTGAGTTGTTCATATCTTATTTATAATTAGTGATCTCTTGAAATCAATTATAGGATCTGCGATGTGTTGCTTACACCTTTATACGATATTTGACGCCGGATGAACCGCCTGTCGACTATGAAGAAGCACAGCAAAAATGCAGAAATTTTTATCAACAAACAGTTGAACGTGCAGCGAACGAGTCATATGCTAAAATCCCAGGCGAGAGTGACGTGGAAACTGGCATGGAAAATGATGCACTACACGTGACACGAAGCAACAAAAGACACCAACTGGTCACTAAAGTTGGCGTATTGATACTACGGCGCCATCTTTTGGAGGATACGGCAAATGCATGTTTTGGGACAAGCTCTCGCTCCAGGCGTTTGAACGGGTTCTTTGACTCTTCGGGAGAAGTGGAAGCTGTAAGTGGAGTAAAGAATAAGTGCAACACAAACAAAGGTAAGGTGATATCCTTGTAAACATTAATAGCATACTGACGTTTTCCTCTTTTTTGAATTGTACTGAAGGTGTAAAACTGCGAATTCATTTTTCCATACTAAATTGTACTTGTGGTTCATGATGTTTCAAAATCGAATTGTCAAGTCAAACAGTCAGCGCTAGATTTTGACCCATTTACGTCACGCTTACTTGAACCAGTATGCATCTACTGGCAGGCGGATTATCTGTTTAAGTAGGCACTGAAGGAAAGTTAAATTATGGGCCAAATTTTGGTAAAATATCTGCTCTTCGCGTAGTTAAAGATGCGGCTTATAACAGTAAGCTTGATATCACTGAGATGGTGCATGTGTGCACGCCCGCACGCGCGTGTTTCCCATTCAAAAACCAAAGTCATGACATCACATAAGCTTGATCTCCACATTTCAGTTGTCGTCGGGTCTCCCCGGTGTCCGTCAGAGAACCAAGTGCCCATACAGTGTGGATGTATAAACAGGGCTACCCCCGGCGGTTGTATACCACGGCTGCACCGAGGTCTCTTTGGCGGGCCGTTGGTTTGCGACGCTCGTGCCGTTGGAAGCGGGATGAACACCGATAATGTTTTAGTATGTGTGTATTTCATTTACGCTGCAACGAAAAGGTTGTTTCAGGCTAAAATCCACGTAAAATTATACTCTGAGATATATATTTCGTCCCATAAAACGTTTTAGCACTTCGAGCCCTGTAATAACCGCCTTTTATATTTCTGTATTAATAAAGTCATCTTATGATTTAGCATCATTGGTACTGCACTGTGACTAGTTATTTTGACTTCCGAAAGTTAAGCCATTTTATACTCATTTGGAGCATACATATTTCGCTTTTAGTATTTTTACACTCATATTTCGTTTTAAGTATTAAGCAAGTGAACTTCACACTGATGCATCTTTACACAATATCACCCTGACATCTTTAAACTTGAACGTATTTCCAGTCTATTCTAACATGCGCCGAAGAATGCAAGCACTCAAGAGTACACTACCAAGAATTCAAACAGAACCTTGGAGATTTAGAAGATACTACTTTCAAGCCTTCAGTACGTTGTCCTGCAGAACTGGTGGCACCTGTGATTCTAGGATGCACTATATTTACGACAGGGGTTATGTAAGTATAGTTATTTGTATTATTTCATCACCAAAGGTGCGTTTAAATGCAACTAATGTACTTTTAACTTAATGGGGTAGAAACTATGCGTAGAGTTATCCAAAATGCCAGTCAAGCATCTTGTTATCACCTATAAATAAAATAAACAGATATTTGGATAAATATTTATAAATGCACCTGATCACATTGTCGAATTTATTTTTTTAAGTACTAAACTGTTTGGATATTTGGCAATGAACATGCATTATTTTACCGTTTACATGCAATATCTGAATCTTATCTTTGACAGTGATCCCATAAGTGTGCCCCGCCCATTACTAGACCACGTGACCGGAACCTGTACACCGGACAGAAACATTACAAAGAATAATGGAGCTCACGTAGAAATCGTGCTGGCCTGTATGAGCAGTAAGTACATCACGTAAAAAAGCAATGGGACATTACTATAGAGCTGAGCTCGGAGACCACGTTATATGCTTTCCCAGCGCAAGCAGAACGTTTTGATGCCTTAATGTTTTTTGTTATATAAACGTTACGGTAACGTTATAATAACGCTGTGTATGCTGGGTTTCAGCCGCAGCCAACCTGCCACCATGCAGGACCGATGAGGATTTTTAAAAGTTTTTTTTTTTTTTTACAGACGTGTCCCCATGGTCGGAGTGGTCAAAATGTGACCGGAATAACAGACGGACACGGCAAAGACTTTTATTGGTAATTTGAATGATATAACTTCTCACTTGTAGTGATATACACTTCCTTGTTTGCATAACGTTAATATTAGCAAACGGCGAACATGTGTCACCATTCAATTTGTTAGTTGTAGCTAAGTATGTTGATAAAATAAATGATAATACACCTTTATTGTTATGGTTGGACCAATATTTTTCTACATTCATTTTTAATTAATCGTAAGTTCATATTTCTTCTATGATAATAGTCAAACCTATATATTGCACAATACGTATTTATACAGTCTATTCTATGGTTGGTGTCATATAGCGCAGGAGCTGTGCATACACAGAGGTGAATAATATGGAAGAAGACATCGGAGTGTGCAAACGTGAGTTCCAAAATAGACCGAAAGCATCCGAGATAGTCCAAAGCGAGCCGTGACGCCATACGAGACTAAAAATATGCAACGTCTGAAAACCCGCGTGAAGCGGAGCTCAGCTAAAACGCTGTACGCCTAACTTGTCATCTTAGACCGCATTTACAAATGCAGCAAGCCTATATACCACACGATGCAAGTTTATGAAGACGTAGTAAATAAACTAAGTTCTAACACGCTGTTAGGCTGATTTTATGACAAGGCATGTAGGACTACATGATAAGCCTCACACATCCCTTTGTTTCAAACAGTTTATAACGTAACAAACGCAACAAGTTAATCAAAATACTAATATCATGAGATAGTTGTATACATATTTATCTCCTCTAATCACTCTGTAACGTAGATTATTATCCCCACGTTTCTTTCACCATTTTCAGTTGCAGTGCCCGCTCCTAGTAACATCGTCTTTATTATAGATGGCTCTTATAGAGCAGGACACTCCCACTTCCGGTTGCAGCTGCTGTTCGTCATGGGAATCATGCAAGCTTTCGCGGTGGGCCGAAATCAGACCCGATTTGGCGTTATTCAAGTTTCCGGGAAAAGTGGCATCGGGTTGCGTTTAAATGACTCATATGATATAGGTACCATTATAGATATGGTGGATGGTATACCGTACGTAGGCGGACCGAGGGCAACATTTGAGGCATTACAACTACTGAGGTACGTGTTTTATTCGCCGTTACCATCTCTAGCAGCAAACCTGTGTTTCCGCTTTAGTGTTAATTCCTACAACTTATAATATATCATTTCCACGTATGTTATTTTACACTGAAAGTTTGTTAGAATTAAACGTTTATTTTATGCTTCTTATTTTATATGACTGTTGATTGTATGATACTGCGATATGCCTAATAGTAAATTTCCAGATTTTAAGGCCATTCTTGAAATGGCCCTGAAGTTCAATATGAATAAACCACATAATAAAATAACTAATTAAAGAAAGCACTGGTATTGTCCACTGTTTTAAATTAATAATGTATGAAACAGCTGATGAAAAAAAGCATTTTCCAAAGTGGAACACGTTTTTCAATTAAATTAAATTGAATTCATTATTATATTGTGACACTTATTTTTCTCCTGTAAAAAAAAACAACGGCTCCATTTACAGTTTTTTGCTTGTATCTTGCCCTTTCTATAAGTGACAAACTCAAAGCAATCCGTCTCAAACCACGTGAGCGAAATAGTTCATTTTAGAATTTTATCTCGCTTAAAATGTTTCGAGTTGCTGTATTTAGAATTTATACAAACATTTATTTGCCATTCCAGCAATGAGATGTTTATCCAGGAAAACAGTACAGCGAGAAATGGACCTAACCTTGCCGTGTTTTTGAGCTGCGGCGCGTCTATAAATTCTACAGCGGCAATGCAAGCAGCAGATGATGTAAGAATTAAATATATAAACCAATTTAATGCATATTTCACGTTCAGATATGTGGGCCATCTGAATTAACTGCAGTATTAAATATTAAGCTGCATGTGTGTGCGCATTGTTTTTATTTCTTCTGAGCTATCACTTCAATTGAATTTTTTTGAAGTATTTGTTCTAATTGATGGATAGAAACTGTTTATCCACCTTTATCAACACTTTGCAATTCCGATTCTAATAAAATGCATTTATAGAAATATCTCACATGTAACGTTTTTGTTTTAACTTTCTGCAATAATCTGTGATTATTATTATTATTAATTTATTTATGAAGGTGCATGAAGCTGGAATTCTGTATGCACGTGGTATAGGCATAGGGCCCGAGTTTGAGTACGCTACAAACAGCGACGCCCACATTGCGGTAGCGGAGATAACAAGCGTTGTGCGCACCAATGTCACATTTCACCACATCAGAGAGCTCAGCAGGATTGACTTAATGGAAGCTTTAGTCGCCGATTTGCATCGTTTAATTGATCCTACATATGAATACGGTAAGAGGTTATGAAGAATGCAAAAAATGAATGATTAACTGTAAGGTGACGCTGTGCGTTTGTCGCTGACTTCGACAGGCAAATTGACTACTCGTCACTTTTTGTCAAGGTCCTTTTTTTAATTGATTTAAGCTGCATCTGGATGAATTATTGTTATCATTTTTTATTATTAGGTGTTGCGGTCACTCATTGGTCAGCGTGGTCAGCATGTTCCGTCTCCTGTGGTGGCGGCGTCCAGACACGACAACGCCAATGTATTAATCCGCAAATATGCAAAGAGAAACGTCTAGTTAACACCAGGCAGTGCGGTCTGCGTTGTTGTAATGGTAAGAACCGTTTAAATGCAAAAACGCGGTACTTGGGTCATAGCATGTTTTACACCGCATTCAAATCAGAGTTGATCTGCGGACCAAATATGGCCGACCCACCTGCAGTCGCGCCATTATCCCCTAATAGACACTGAATAAATTCCCTGATGGGAACTCGGCCGTGGGTCGGCTTTATTTGAACCGCGAATTTGTTAGCCCGAGGATCAACCCTGTTGCGAATGCTCCTAAAAATCCGGCAAAGGGGGAATTCAGTTTTCTGAAAAAGGGAAACTTTTTTTAGCTCTCGTCCCCAAAGCACGCCCCAGGTGACACAAGGTGAAAAGTGAAAGAGCACCTGGGTGTTACATAGAGGTTTTTTCTTCTTTTTATGCCAAAAGATAGATTCTATGGACCCCCTATATTGTCTCCCCCCCCCTTTTTTTCGTAATGAAAAATGAACGTTTCACGCTTCTTGGGAAATAATACTTAAGCGAGCAAATTCAATGGGGAGGATTATTTTTTCTGAAAAAGTGAAACTTAAAATTTTGTCCCTCAAAGCACAACCCAAGTTGAAAAGTGAAAGAGCACCAGGGTCTTATATTTATTCATAGAGGGTTTTTGTCAAAAGCGAGATTCTAAGGCCCCCTGTTACTGCCCCCCCTCCCCCCGCGCTTCAGAACTCTCTACTACAACGTAACCGTTTATAATGAAGTTAAGTTATTTTTTGTTACCATTGCGTAAGTTACATGTGGCATCTCTGTGTAGTTTGACTTATACGGAACGATGTTTATGTTTAACTTTGTTTGATTTATGTAGTCTGCATGCAGTGAGTTACGCCTTTATAATAATAGGAGTATTTGGTATGTTTGTGTATGTAATCTTAGTCACCTAGGCTATATTTACAACTCTGGTAATTATTCTCAGTGGAAAACACAAGGTGTTAATAACGCCAATCACTTCGTAATATCCTTTACGTCAATAGGCTCTCTTAAGCACCGTTTGACATTAGCATTAACGAGTACACTAATCATATTTTCAAGGGCATTGTTACTGATCTTACTTCTTGATTACTGATGATTACTAAAATGACATTTAGCAAAAGTTATTAGAAGATTTTCATTCACAGGTGTTTGTTTTTTTTTTTTTTTTTTTTTTTTTTTTTTTTTTTTTTTTTAGCATCGATCAATATACTTTAGCAATATACTGTGCACCGGTACACTTATAACATGTAAGTACATTAGACCTACTTTTACTCCCTTTCTCAAATTCGCATCCTACTGTTAACTAAATTAATTTATTGGCCGTGTCGATCGAAGAAACTCCATTTAAGCGACAATCTCTTACGCAATAGCCAAACTGGTTAGCTGTAAGCCTCTCAGTGTGTATCGATACAGGCGGTTTTGCCACGAGTCATTCAAAGTGTACCGGCACAATTGTATCGCTAAAGCATACCGCTCAACTTTGAAAAAGGACAAATACTAATAATATCCTAATTTTACAGCAACGCAGCATGAGGTTCACTTTGACTGCATGTTGAGTAGCAGATTGACTTTGTTATGCAACCAGGACGATTACCCAAAAATCTTGCGGGTAATTATTATTATTATTATTATTATTATTATTATATTTTAAGAGTAAATACAACAGATCATTGGAAGATTCGATGATAAATTTTGTTTTGATGAAAAAGGAGAGCAAAGTTACTGGTCAGTTATTTCAATGGCAGGCTTTACACTTGAAGATGAAGGCACAATTCGGTTGACAAAAGTGATAATATATTATGAGGAACGGTTACTTCAGTTATGTTTTCGAAATTCCTTTCTTCATGTGTCATTTGAATTTCGTGGTTAATATAGGATTTATTTCTAGAAAATATTTAAGTTTAATATAAAGCAGTCGGCGTTTTAAAGGAAATAGTGTTTTTTGTTCGTTTGTTTGTTTTTGTTGTTTGGAGGGTGTGTGTTGACGAATTTTTTCCAACCCGAAAATAGCACATGTCGAATAAGGACATTCTGACCTTTAGATAATACAAGCGTTTTCTTCCAAACTCTAAATATAGTATTTTTTTTGGCTTGATTTAGGTTCGACATGTGGATTCATGTAGCATGACCAATGCATGCGAACAAGATGACGAAATACGAACGTCACTGCAGAAAAGATGTGACGGAAAGGGGCATTGCAGCGCCATCTATCCATGTGGATTGACTAATCAGGAGGAGCGATCCATCGTTGTGTCATACGAATGTTGCTACAATCCTATGTCTGGGACAGATAGTGAGTTTATGTATTATGTCCCAATTTCTATCTCGCTTTTACACGAAACACTGGGTAAAATGTGGCATTTGTTCGGATAATAAGCTTCAGCGATATTCATTTCTCGTGAAAGTCGTCCATTTTGTCAAATGCCAAACGTTTTTTTATAAGTTATGAAAAGTAGGCCTATGTCGTTACTGTTTTAAGAACCGCGTAAAAATATGTTTTTTCTTTTAACGTTACAATATGCATGTTATGGTTTGCCATCGTATTATAAAAATCATGTATCCAACCGTTTTTAAAAAGAATCAGACTAAGTTGGATAGATTTTTGTCGTCATGTTTCTGACCTCTTGAGCAATTACGTTGGTGTGCAGCATTATTATTATTATTATTTTGAAATTGTTGTTTTTGGATTATTTAATAATGTTATTTACTTATTTTTAGTTCAAAATGGATGAAAGTTTTGATAATCTAGCCTTCGACTCAACGACTTCCATCCCTGCACCACTCGAAGTTGTTTGAAACATCTTTATCTCCGCACGGAATACCGACAAAAAAAATACAGAGCACTCGAGACATATATGCGCTCACAAGAGCCTTAAACAACAAGCTAGCGTCTCATATGTCGCGCATGGAACACATTGCATGCAGAGAAAGAAGAAAGATGACACTGCATCTGAGTAAAATGAGTATGTAGGCCCATTATTTTCCACGTAGGAAGAACAGATCAGAGTCTTTTTTTTTCTTTGGTCATGCACAGCAGCTAGTATCTGCACATTTCGTTACGCGTGTTTCCACTGGCTTAGTAAAACGTGTGAGAGCATCAAGACGTCAGTAAGGTTCAACAGATAACGCAGGTGGCCAAAGAAGTGTTTTAGCCCAATACGCATTTTAACTTGGGCTGTTTGAATTTTAATTGTTAATAATGTGTACTTATCGGCAACTGCTTGGTTAGGTGAACAACTGCACGTCTTCAAAATAATTTTTAGACGAAGTCACATATTGATTGTGCCAGCTTTAACTTTTTATTTAATACTGTTGATTTTTATACATAATTTAAAAAACAAAACATCATCCTCGAAATCTTTTTTTTTTCTATTTTATAATGTAGTATCAGTTGTAACTTTCCGTTATATTCAGTACTGTATTTATCAACTTTTATAATAAACTCTGTCGATCATTAAGTGAAAAAAAATTGCCTTTGCATTTTCTGATCATTGTCAGTATCCAGTGGGAAGGAACAACTTATTTTAAACCTAACTGCCTAAAATTAACAATTTTATTCTTTTGGCCCTTTCAATCATTATCTTCAGCCGAAGTGTTCCGAACAAGGGGAAAGTAATTATCAATGAGCGCATTCAAAACATCTGACTAACAGATGCTCGGATCAAATATGGCCGACCCACTTGAATGCTTGTTGCGTAATCTCTGTCGGGAATCTATTCAGTGTCTAATCGGGAATTAAGCGGCAATCTTTTAAGCGGGTTGTCGTATTTGATCCTCGGATCTGTTAGTCCGCTGTCCTTAATGCGCTTATTCAGTGCTGATCTTTGGTATTACCTAATCCGAGCTTCGGTGCGCATTTCCTCCTCCGAATATCTGAACTCCAGATTTTCCTGTGTGAAACAGATGTCGGCCCTTTAGCCGGTTATTATTTTACTTTTGTGTAATATTGCATATTTCTCCTTTTCACACAATATATGTAGTGTAAAGTACGACCGATACGTGGCGACACCATCGCAACCTCGCTTGAAAGATGCAGTATCTGCTCGTTTGTCAACGGCTGATTGCTACTGTCGTAGCGTTTAACATGGTGTCGTTCTATCGATAAGCTCCTGTTTCCTGTTTCAAATTGCTCTCGACATCTTCGCTGTATGTGGTTGTAATTTCCGATATTTCATAAAAGGAGAGAGAGGAAAAAAAAGAAAAAACCTATGTCTCTAAAAATGGAAGTTGCACAAAGAGTATTAGATGGAACGTTTTGGGTACTGATTTTCTAATTTTTGAGTTACTCAGGAAATGCAGATAATTCCAATGATTTTGGATTAGGTTTACTTTGTTGATCACGTAAAAATTGATGAAACTCCCAATATTTATTCCTGTCTGAAGGTTTAACTTGGTTTTACACCTGAAGAAATGAGAGTTATTAAATAGCGTATTCCATAGAACCTCAAACTTTTATTATAATTAAGATATTAAACAAACGGTAATAACCATAGAGTTTATGATATGAATCTTTGCAATTTTCTTTTAAATGTGAGTTTTTAATAAAATTTTGAAAGGTTTTTTTACTCTTTTAAAGCGATTGTTAATTATATTTTATCACTTACCCTTGTTCTCTCCGTCAAAAGATAAATGGTTATGATGATTCTTTATAAAAGAAAAAAAACAGTTTTGATAACAAATGTCCTAAATATGGCAGGTACGTCTTCTTTTATAAGTGACAATGTCACTGGTCCAAAATTATTAACCGCGAAAGATGATATATTAGCCATTTTTTGCACATGAAAAGTTTTTTAATTGAGTAGCAATGCAGTATGCAAATGATTCAAGTTTAGGGACAATAGAACGGGTGTAACAATTCCAAAACACCGAAAAACAAGAGGGGTGCCTGGTACATGTACATGTAAGTAAAATAGAACTAGAAGAAAACGTAGCCAAAGTCACGTTGCAAGAATCAAAGCCACAACTGTTTACGAAACTGAATAAAGGTGATTTATGAGAGGCCAAGTCAAAAGGAATTATTTACCATCTCGTCAACTTCAAGGTCTATTAAAATGACATCTCAGATTCCAGTCGTGTATTATTCCTGAGGTCACGACTTATGGGTGCTATTAGCTGTTATTTTTGATACAAAGCCACAGGTAGGTGGGTCGAAAATGAGGAAACGTTTATAAAGACGTTTGTAATTCAAGATTCCCACTTGATTTATCCCAACCCGCACATTTCGACTAATTTTTATTCTTTGATTCTCTTTTTATCCATCGATCTTCTATGCATTAGTAAAAAGATCACTCAATATTTTTTAACAATAAGCATGTTTTGCTTCACTGCCGGCTAAGGAGTTCTGTTATGATTATTTTTGAATATATATATTTTATATTATTTTTAAAAATATTTTAAATATATTTTTAAAATAATAATTGCACCAGGTACTGTTATGCAATGTCCCCTGTACATTGTTTGTGTCTTTAAACTCTTATTTGCACGCGTTGCTCTAATGGGGGAAAATTACTCCAAGAAGATAACTTTTTCTCGCATTCTCAATATATATATGTATGGCAAGGACCTGTTATGTGAATGTTTTGAAACAGGTTTTACATATGTATCGCTCTCTCTCTCTCTCTCTTGTTTTCTTTTATCTCCAATTTCTCTCTCTCTCTCTCTCTCTCTCTCTCTGCATGAGTGTGTATGTTAAAACTGACAACAACAGGTTTTGGGAATCTTTCAGATAAACCCATTTAGCAGTAGCTAAAACACGGTTACAATTATTAAGAAAAAACATAATTTGTTGCAACATCTGTGTAAACATCTGCTTTTTACACCAAATAATTTCTCCAGTCAGTACCATTGCCCTGGCAATTGGATTCCAGTGCCAGCTACTGGTTTC